ACATATACATGTACGTATACATATACGTATACGTATACGTATACATACACTTACACATACACATACATATTCATATACGTATACATACGTATATATATAGATGTACATGTAAATGTACAGGTACATATACATATACATGTACATGTACATGTACATGTACATGTACATGTACATGTACATGTACATGTACATGTACATATACATACATACAAACAAATCGCACTGCTATAGTAGATAGTAGACTTAATAGACAGTAGAAAGTACATAGTAGACGGTAAATAATGGATAGTATATAGTTCATAAATAGTAGATAGTATATAGTATTCAGTATTCAGCATACAGTATATAGTACGTAGTATATTGTATATTGGATATGGTAGATGTGCGTTAACAAAAATATCAGTTAGATAGACAGATAGTTAGATAGATAGATAGATATATACACAGATAGATAGGTAGATAGCTAGGCCACGAAGATAGGTAGATAGGTAGATAGGTAGATAAATAAGTAGATAAATAAATAGATAGAGAGATAGACAGACAGACAGATAGCGAGAGTATATATATGTATATAGGTATATAGGTATATAGGTATATAGGTATATAGGTATATAGGTATATAGGTATATAGGTATATAGGTATATAGGTATATAGGTATGTAGGTATATAGGTATATAGGTATATAGGTATATAGGTATATAGGTATATAGGTATATATGTATATATGTATATATGTATATATGTATATATGTTTATATGTTCATATGTTTATATGTATATATGTATATATGTATATATGTATATATGTATATATGTATATATGTGTATATGTATATATGTATATATGTACATATGTATATATCTATATATCTGTATATGTACATATATAATTATACATATGTATGCAAATATGCATACATGCGCAACTCACACTGCTGGTGCGTTTCGTGGTCACCCCGGACGTATGCTTGCCCCCCTTGCCTCGTGCAGTCCAAAGGAAGACCCTAGATCGTTTCCCCCATGCTGCTGCGATTCAAGGTTGCGTGGTCCGTTTCGTTTTATTTACAATGAGTCATGCCGCCAGCACATCGAACCCTTTGCAACTGACGAACCGTATGCACCACACCACAGCCGGAGACTTGCACAGCGAGCATGTTGTGCAAGAAAAGGAACCCCGAGACCAGATTTGCACCATTTGCTGTAAGAAAACGGCATGCACGGAGTTGGCAAAGGCACGAAAGCGAACAACCAACAAAAAAAGACAAAACTTGCAACAAACAAAATTCCATCCCCTCCTGATATGGGGCAATCGGCAGCACATCAGTCAGCCTCGCCGTTTTTTCCATGCCACAGGCAGCATCATCACAGTCACCATCGCATCATCGCAACCCTTCACCACCAGGGCCATCATCGTCATGTTCATCTTCCTCCTCTCGCCATCCCATCAGCGTTGGCGTCATCATCGTCATCCCCACCCTCTTCGCGATGATGCTCACTATCAGCATGACCGTCGTCAATATGATGCTCATATTTTTGGCTATAGCATTCATTTATCCTTTCTGATCATCAACGGCATCATGCAGAGCCCCAGGACTTGGGCGAGGACCCGGCAGTGGGCTTCCATTTCGCCTCACTCGTCCACAACCTGTGCAGGCCGCGGGTTGGCGATGCATTTCGTGGATTTCTACAGCCAATCTCACTTTTGGTTGTTGGTACTCGGTGATGTCTGTTGCCTGAAGCGTAGTATGACTTTGCTAATGAAGCCTAAACCCTAAACCCTAGACTCTAAACCCTAATGAAGCTTTCTCGGGGGGCCGTGAAGATTCAGAGGCTTTTGCAGACGTATCAGGCGTCTTGCTCTCTGTGTTTCTCTGACGCTCGCTCGCTTGCTTTCTCCTGTTCCCATATTCTTTCACCCATTCTCTCACTCCTTTCATCTATGAATGCGGTAGGTAGGCAGGAAGTTAGGAAGGTAGGTAGGTCCGTAAGGATGCCAGATTGGCTCTCAGGTCGCGGGAGGACCGTGTCCGCATCAAGACGGGCCGGGAGCCCCACACTCACATGGCAATCGGCTTGTTGGGACTTCTATTTTTGGATAAAGTGCAGGGGACTCTGGTGTGTTTCCAGACTTGAGGGTGTTGGATTGGGTGAGAGGCTGATCCCTTGTTCCTGCTTTTCCACAAGAAACCCCATTTTGTGAAGGGGGGACTGCTAACATGTTGCGCGTGAGTTTTTTCGGACACCAAGCCGTGCAGGTGTCAGAGTCGGACCCCGGGTTGAGATTCTGCAAACTCGCATGTAGTTGGGCCCTGAAGTCAGCCTTTGTCCTGGAGAGGCAATCCGATGATCGACGAGCTCAGTGGTGAGGACTTCAAGGCCCGAAGAGCCTTCCCTGGAAAAGCGCGCCTCCTAAGTCTTGCTGGTATCATAGAAGACTGCAGCGGACATGATATTTGATGCCTGATGTGGTAATATGAAACATACGTGAAATGTAAGGACCTCTTTTGATGCCGGAGGGAAGCATTTGACAACTATTTCCGCTAAACCCTGGTGGAGGCGCTCGAGGAATTCTACGAGCGAATGCCGGCAGAAGCCAGGCCCACAACGGGAGAGGAACAGCCAAGGTCCAAGTTGGTCAAGAGTGGCTTAGTAAAGGGTGTCCTCGACCTTCCGTCTCCGACCGTGAAGCGTGCGATGCGGCTGTTTGCTGTGACCTTTGCAAAAAATGATTCCTCCTTTTGCTTTGCCGGGTTTGCCAGGCCAACGCGATCGGGCGAGGCGCGACGGACCAACAAAAAACCTGGGGAGACATGGGAAACAGCTGCTGTTGCCATAGTATGTTGCCATGGAAAGATGAAGGGGACATGTTCCCACAGGTGGATCCCGGTGCCCCCGAGCTGGCCCAACGCTTCCGGACCTGGTGCCTGGAGCGAGGCTCCTCGGGCTCGTTGTCGTTTCCTGGAACTTCGGATGGTTTTGGAGTCATCATTCTTTGGCATGCATCTCTTCCTGAAGTCAGCTCAAGCCTGTGCTCCATTTCTTCTCCCGCCCATCCCTCCCCACACCTAGTTTGTTTTTGTCATCGTGGTGCTGCCGGCGCACGAAAGTGCTGGCCCCCCCCCTGGCAAAAGTGTCAAAGCACCAGGTCAACAAAGGCAGCCGTTGGCGTTTTGCTGTCCAAGCGTTTGAGCTCTTCGTGCCGTCGTAGGCGAGGCCGGCGGTGCAGCGCCCCTCGTGGCCAAGCTCTGCCGCTGTGTGTCGGGCTCCACGCAAACGAAGGCACAAAAGCTTTAAACAAAAAGTTGGGGGGACTCGGGTTGGGGGCCCAGTCCAGGAAAGCGTTGTTCAAAGAGAAGGCCAGCACAGATCGCTCGCTGTGCACACTATAGTCACCAGTCGAGATCGCCTAAGAAAGGCCCAGCAGCAGCCAAGCACGCTTTCTCCAGGCGCTCATCGCAGATTCCTTGAAGCTTCTCTGCTCCGACCAGCAAGAGAGGCCCCTCCCAACGGAAATGCCTCACTTTGCTGCTCTGTCTGTCTCTTTCTGTCTCCGTCTGTCTCCGTCTGTCTCCGTCTGTCGCGGTCTACCTCTGTCTGTCTCTGTCTGCCTCTCTGTGTGTCTGTCTGTGTATGCGTGTGCACGCGTCTGTCTGTCTGTCTGTCCGTCTGTCTGTCTAGGTAGGTAGGTAGGTAGGTAGGTAGGTAGGTTCGCATGCATTTGGCTTTGGGGCGAACTCTGACTCGGAGTTAGAGACATTCTGGGACATACCCGGAGGGTTTGCTGCTGTACTTGAGGGCCTCCCTGCTGTCTGTACGGCTTCGGAGAGTTCGTGGACTCAAGGGTTGAGAGCGCTTCAGTGTCTATGGTTGATTCATGGTTGATACCGGGGTGGGTTCTGGCTTGCTGAGAGTGAGGGTGCCGTCGGCTGTTGAGGAAGATTGTGGCGGCCAGCGGTGGCGTTCGCACACTGCTTGGGCTGTCGAACCTGGACCAGGACCAGGGTTTTCTGCCAATGGGTTGAGTATTGGCCCCCCCCAGTCTCGAGAAAGGCTCTGGGCGGCCAGCAAGAGGATGTGAAGTTCATGAAATTGCTACCGTCGTTGTTAGGGAGTTTTAAATTTGCACGTGCCGCCATGTTTCCTTGGGGTTTCACTTGCCTGGGGTTCTGATTGCAGGAATCACGCGATCCTGGTCGCAAGGATGCCGAGGAGGGTGCACGAAACGCTGCCAGGCAGGGGTACAGAAGACTTACTCCGATGGTGCGTAGTGTAGTTCTCTGCTCGGCACCGTTCAGATTCATCCGTTCCAGGGACCGTATGGGAGTTGCCAGACCAAGAGGTGCATTGCTAAGAGCAATTAAGTAAACTCCTGAAGCGACATGCTCTGACCTTAAGCAGCTATGTCTGGGATGTGCCTAGACGACGTCGGAAAAAAGGCTTTATCAGCGCGCATCGAAAAGGAAGGAACGAGCGAAAGAAAAGCTGTCGTACCGCTTTGCACAGGATGCGGACACGACACTTCTTTTGACTGCGGAAATAGACAGATGGTGTGACCGTCGCTCGGCCATGTGTCGAGCCTCCAGGCAGGCGTTAGCGCAGATTCTCATCGTGATGAACCCACAGCTTCTGCAGCTGCTTGGCCTTCGTTCTCTAGGAGCTGGAAGGGGTTGAGTGTTTCCATTTTCGAGCTGAGCTGCAGAGCTTTGGATGTTCTGAACATTTTCGGACAGGGATAGGCAGATCCCAGAGCTATCAATCCAAGCCTCATCCTGAAGAGACCTGCGAGTAGCACAGCTCTGCAGGTATCAGGAGCAGCTTGATGCTGTCAGGCGCCTCTTTGCAGACTTGGCTTCCGCAAAATTGCAGCCTGTGGCCAATGGCAGATGTCAGAGAGAGCCGATGGTCTTAACCAAAATCTTAAACTGTAGCTATAGGGGGTTCCTTTTGAGGGAGCTATGGGGTGTTCCTTTAAAGGGAGCTACAGGGGGCTCCTTTCAAGGAATCTATGGGCTCGCTGTCAAGACGAGGAGCAGAGGTCCTCGGCTCTGTAGCGTCGGCAGGCCGATGCTTGCATTGCTGGAGCACCGGCACGAACTGCTGCAGTTCGAAGGCGCAAAGATGTGGGAGTTCCGGCTTTAGGGGGTTTAGGATTTAAGGTCTAAGGATCCACTGATGGGGGCTTTATGGACTTTTTGCCTCTCTCGGGCTATGCCAGGGCTTAAGGCTTCAGGGCTTCGAGGAGCCAAACAAGCTAGACAAAGATTGCCTGCTTACAATTCCCCCTTTAAACCCGTGAGGTGACCAAGTAAGAACCAACCCTAGCCTCTAAGTGTCCAGCCCCAGGCTGCCTGGCCTTGACGAACCTCCTCTCTTCCAGTGAGGAGCTTCGTTCCTTTGCCTTGTGCCTCGGCTGCAAGACTGATTTCGGCACAGCGCGGAGAATCGCGAGACTCCACTGCGAACGCTTGATTGGGACAAGTCCGTAGCTAGTTTGGGCTTATCGGGGAATGGTCGATCAGACGACTAGCAGAATAGCACTAGACAGCTTTGGAAGGTTCTGCTCGAAGCGATAGAAGTAGTACAGTTCTCCATTGAGGCAGTCGGGCGCGTGGAGCAAGTGCAAGGACTTGCTGTTCTCTGAGAACGAGGAGGCACATGCTTCAACCTCCCAAGCCCCAGAATTAAATCCCCCAGCTCCAAACTCTAGCCTAAGCCCCAGAACCCAGGCTGACACCCCTCCCAAAGCAAGCCCTTAGAAACCCAAAGCTTTAAAGCATGCTTAAGCCCTAAACCCTAAACCCTGCCTTTAAACCCTTAAACCCCTAAACCCTAAACCCTTAAACCCCTGACCCCTAAACCCTAAACCCTTAAACCCCGGAGCCCTCACCCTAGACCCTATACCTCAGACCCCTGAGCCCCTAAACCCCTCAAGCTCGTTCCGGCCCCCGGAGGTTCAGAGGGCCGGCCTTGAAGCGATGTGCAACCTGACGATGGCTGAGGAGGCCCGGCGTTTTGTCCACGAAAGCTGGCTTCAACAAACGGGTTTTGGGGGTGTACCCTTTAGGGCTTCAGGGTGTTTAGGCAATTTGAAGGGTTTGGGGCATTACGGGTTTCGGGATGTTAGAGGTTGGGGTCTTCGGGAACTAGAGCACGGCTTTGGGGTAGAGGCTGTGCAGGGACCTTGGTAACTAGAATCGGTTGTTGTGGAGCAGTGCAGACTGCAGGAAAGGGACTACGAGGGGGCATTAGTGGTAACTGGTCAGAGCTCTGCAACGTATGCTAGTTGTATCATCGACGCCAAGTACAAAATCGGCTACTCGACGGAGGGGACTTCTTTCCTGCAGTACCCCGAGGGCTTCGGGGCTGTAGAGGCTTAGACGTTCAGGGTTCCAGTGTTTCAACGGCTATGGGTTTTCTATTCTAGGGGAGCCGACAAACCGCCTTCTAAGCCCCTCTGCCACCAGCTGATGGACAAACTCGGCCTCCTTAGTCATAACAATAATAAATTAGTCGAGAACACATCGCGACAAAATCGAAAAAAGGTCGTTCCGCGACTCTTCGAAGGGTGGCTGCAACAATGGGGAACCACGTCAGCACAACCCACACGGAGAGTAGCAGACTTAGTGGAAGCCTGGAAGGTGGCCGAGCGCTTTGCCCTGGGCAAGGCCGAAAACGAGCTGAAGATCTTTGGTGCCTTTTGTGCATCCGAGGCCTCGGTGTGTTGGAACTGCTTTGGGGTTGCTGACATCAAAGGGATGAAGGCAACTGGCCCTTATACAAGGGATCCTCAATCAATCCTCCTTCATCTCACCTGTTGAGGCCCCTGATGGCATTGTCATGATTGCTGTTTGTTGCTGCTAAGCAGACCCAGGCCGATGATCTGCAGGACAGCAAGAGGGAAGTCCTAGTGGTAGCCTGATGCACTATACTTCGTGACAGTAGTGTACTACTTAGAGAGGTGAGCAAGCGAGAGGGCATTGCAGCACGGATGCTACACGTAACATGGGAGACAATCACCGCAGCATATCCTGACCGTGTCTTTTACAACAGTTTCTAATTCTGGCCTCCACCCTGAGCAGGCGCGGCTAGGGTGTAGGATGCCTCAGAGTCCTGACCTAGACACTAGAATCACTGTAACATGCGCATTAGAGCCTTAAGTCTCTTTGCCTTTGCAGCCTTTGCTACTTGTAGCAACCCTCTTAGAGGCCCTTTTCGGGGCCTCTGAGGCCCCGAAGCCACCCCCTGTCCCCTCTAAACCCTAAACCCTAAACCCTAAACCCTAAACCCACCTGTCCCCCTCCCGCTCCCCGCAGATCGAGCGACAGCAGATCGCCGCCACGGGAGCCCTGGCCATCCTCTCCGGCCTCGACGAGGCAGCCGGCCCTTTGCAGGAGCTTCCCTTTAAAGGACTTGAAGAGTTTCTTTCAGGGATCCTTTAAGGGCTCCTATGGGTTTGGGTTCCTGTAAGGGTTGCTGTTGACAACTCTTAAGGTTTAAGTTTGGGGCCTAGGGGCTTCAGGTGTTCTAGAAACGTTCGTGGGTTGTGGAGTGTGGGGCGCCAGGAGGTGGCAGAGCCTTTGTGATAGTGCAACTCGTGCTGCTGTCTTGCGTTCAAACGCCCCATGATCCTGACTCGGGGTCCAATAGGGCCAATAGGGTTTAGTTGGTTAAGGTTTAGGGTTTAGGGTTTAGGGTTGGTGTAGGACTTATGATCTCTTGAGGTTGCCGTCCGTATCGCCGACTGCGAGCAATGCCTGGAAGGGCTGCTCCGCGCAGTTCTGGAGTCAGAGCCGTGGCATCCAAGAGAGGCTCAAAAGGGCTCTTGGGCTCTTGGGTCTTTCAGAGTTTCGCTGAGCCCCATCCCCGCAGCCCGAAAAATCCGAGGCCCCAAGAAATCCGAAGAGGGACCCCAAAGAGCAATCCTAAACTAACCCTAAACCCTGAGCCCTAAATCCTAAACCCTAAACCCTTATCCGGAATGGATCTCCCAAGGAGAGTCCAGCTGTCGAGCTCCGCGCCGTCTCTGCTTTGCTGAGCCTACGCCGTGCCGAGGGGGCCGAGGGCCCAGGCGACGGCTCCGAGAAATCCCACAGCCAAGTGAGTCTGTGGCCAGTAAAGAAGCAGGAAGGTGGAGCTACGTTTTCTTTTTTTGTTGGGGGGCTTTTGCTACACTCCAACATCCTGCGCGCAGCCGGCTGGCAGTGAACCCGGATTTCTGGAAGATGATCAGAAGCGAGAGGATAAGCGAGCTCGCCTTGCTACAGGAGTCGTTGCGATCTCTTTTCTTGAAAGAGTTCCAAGAGTCGTAAGCAATATCAGGTTATAGTTCATAACTCATGAACAGGGCCAGGCTGAGAATGACCTCGGTTGTCTTTACCCTGCCTGTCTTTTCTGGCTGAGGTCAACCAGGAAGTCCGCCGTGCCATCTTCGCTGTCCTCCAGGAACCACTGTTTCTGTGGCCGAGCTTTCAGTCTCACAAGAGGCGTCTGCTTGTACTAGCAAGTGCCTGAACCGTCTTGTATCAAGAGGAATGTTTAGATGCGCGAACTCTCTTGCTTCCCCCTGAATCCTCGTCCTCGTCTCCTTCCAGTGATGATGATGATGATGATGGTCCTGGTGATTTCCCCTTTAGCCTCATTCTCCGAGCCTCAGCTTCGCATACTTCAATATCAGGATCCATCAAGGGGCAGCTAAATAAGAAGCTGGCCATGTTGTTCCTCTTTCCTACCCCTCCCCCAAGCTGTAGAGTAGACTCAATAGAACCCTAACCCCCTGGCCACCTTTAACGCCACAATTTTACCTTATAGTAGCCCTTATAGTTTCCCTTTACAGTACCCCCTTATAGTACCCTTTGTAGTACCCCCTTAGAGTACCCCCTTATAGTACCCTTTAATTATAGAAGCCCTTATAGTACCCCTCATAGTACACCTTTAAAGTACCCTTTATAGTAGCCCTTATAGTAGCCCTGACAGAACCCTTTTTAGAGCCCTCGGTCTCGTCTGAGGAGCGGCTCAGACGAGGCTTCGAGTCTCCAGACGCACAGGGCCGGGGCCTCAACGTTTTTTGGGATGGGGAGGAGTGCTTCAGAACAACAGAATTTAGGGTTTAGGGTTTATAGGGTTTAGGGTAGGGTAAACAGTCAGGGTGGGTGGGTCTGGAGAATTCAGGCTCTCATGTAGACCCTACGCACCACCTGCGCCATCATGTGCCTCGATCTCGCGCTGAAGTAGGCTCCTGTTCCTTGAGAGTACCCGTGCAGGCGCAGCTGAGGAGGAAGTGCAGCAGGGCTGCTGAGCTACTCCAGTCCCTGCCGAGCTTTACTTAATTCGCCGGGCGGACAACACGCAGAGCGCGCGTTTTTCCACCGACGTCCTTTGAAGGACCTCGGGACTTGGACGCGAGGCGTACAGCCGGGCGTTTGCACGCGTAGCTCCCAGGATCGGCCTCAAAAGCAGAGCGATGCAAGGGAGCCGAAAGCAAATGAAGGAGTCACCATGATCTGGATATTATCATAGACTTATCATACAGTGACGGTCCCTCATGCCTTGCATTGCTGCGGCCGAGAGTAGTTCTCAAGAAACTTGCCGTGGGCGACAAAATGGAGACGACGGAGAAGCGAAGCAAGGCTATGTGGGGAGACGCAGCCCCGTGATTCCAGACGACATCCCAGGCCACTGGTACCTGTGGCCATGAAGAAGCTGTGCAAGGCCGTCATCGTCTGCAGAAACAAGACGTACATATATATATATATGTATATGTATATATGTATATGTATATATATATATACAGATAGATAGATGTATATAGTAGTAATATAGTACTGACTAGAATTGCAGATCATTTTTCGGAGCCTTTCCGGCGACCTGTCCTCGCCCGTCGCCAGGCCCTCCGCGACTGCGTGAGGCCCCGGCAGTGCTCTGCTTGTGGCGATGCTTCGTGCCGTGCGCCTTCTGTGATCGTGAAGTCTAAGCGGCATGTCAATACATCCAACAAGTTTTTCGCATACCATGGGAAAACACCCGCATGCCAGAAGTCTTGTTCCTAAAGCCCAAGCTCTGAAACCCCTCCCACAAATGCGAAGCGCTCACACCCCACACCCAGAACCTGAGCGTCGTTTCCTCAGGGCCTCCGCCTTCAGCATCTTCGAGCGCGGCAAGGGTTGGCAGCAGGGCTACTGGCGGATGGCCGGGGCCCCTGAAACTGAAAGAGAGGCTCCTGTATGTGGGTTTCTGGAGAGGCGCAAGTCACAAATCCTTGACTTCCATGCTAAAGCCCACGTGATCGAACTTCCGGGTTCTTTGATGGGCAAACTCGTCTTCGCGCAGCCTGAGCGTTTGCCTACCACCGAATCGCTCTGTCGGGCCTTCGCCGCCCTGCGTTAGCTCCGGATTTCTTCTGCACCAGGGCACCGTCCCTACTTTTGTCTCTCCCTCTCTGTCTCCCTCTCTGTGACCACATGAGTTTGCCTTCTGTCTTCTGCTTCTAAATGCACAAACTCAACCTTAGATCCTGGGACCTGAGCCTCAGTCTTTGACGTGGAATCCTGAACCGCAACCTAACCACGCGCAGCTGACGAAAGAGAGGTCATGGTTCGGCAGTCCACCGCAGAAGAGCTCCTTGTCATGGAGCCGCGCTCAGAGCATCCTGTCCAGTGCTTTGGCATAAGACGAAGCCTGCACTCAGGATGAAGGGTTTTACGGCTTGGTCTCGAGGGCTTGGTCGTAATGGTGTTGATATGTGTTGCTAATTTCAGATGCTACCAGTAGAAGCATAGAGGCATAGAGTACATATACTGCAAGCGGCACAAATGCTCGTGCTGATAGTAGTAAGCATGCTACTTCCACATCTCTTCGTCTTCTACTGTAACTATCCATAGAACGTGTGTTGACGGGGCCACTGGCTTGCGAAGAGTAGGAGCTTTACAGCGTACCAGGCTGGTAACCATAGCAAGCGCAAGAACGGTGACAATGTGTGTCAAGTGAGCAGAAGAACAACAGAGAATCGACGCAGTAAGAGCCAGAACAACGGGCAAGACCAGAGAGACCAGCACCACGAGTAGCATGAGCCATCCTTGTATATCTTTGTGATGGTGCGTGAGACAAGTAGCGTGAGTCGAAGAATCCCGAAGTGTCAGCAACCTGCCCTGCCGTTGTCAGGAACAACCGCTTGGTGAGCAGGATTGGCACCTCAGAGAGTGACATTCGAAGCAAGCACACTTGTCAGCGTCATCTCGAGCAGCAGCGGCAGCAATAGCAATCAGGACAGCGAGCGAACCGGAAGTAGTAGCAGTGGAATGTGAAGATGAAGAAGAAAGTGTAGAAGCGGCAACCGCGGCAGCAGCGTAACCTCAAGAAGTAAACATAGTGGTGGCAATCGCGGTCGTTTTGGCCACGCGTCATAGACGATGAAAGTCGGAAGTCATCACTGCACGGTGGCAGGTGCAGACGGCGAAGCTGGAGGACGCCCAGCGCGAGGCCCTGGCCGCAGAGGTCATCGCGGCGCTGACGAAGGCGCGGGAGAGAGAGCCCTGCCGACTCGGTCTCTCCGCGCGGCGCGGTCTGTTCAGGCCGAGCTGCAGATCAACGTGGTGTCCATCTACCTGCAGTTCAACGACGAGGCATCGGATCCTTTGAAGCCACGGGAAAAAAGAAAGAAACTTGGAACTGGGCTTTGGAACCGCTCTGTGCCGCGAGATCTCCGATGCGGCGCGGCCGGGAGCTCCCCTGATGCACATCCACGGCGATGCCCAGCTCAGGCCCTGAGAGCTCTGAGACCTCTTTGAGAGAGAAGCGGAGGGAGGGGCCTAGGCCTAGGCCCGGGGCCTTTCCTTTCCTTTAAAGGATGCAGCTCCTTGGGCTCAGCTTCAACATCGGCCCTCTCTCCTTCTACCAGGCGCCGGGCAAAGACCGAGCTGGAAGATGGGAAGATGGGACCGAAAGGGGGACGCCATGAAACAAAAACAATCCCGGAGAGAGAGGGCCTTAGGTCTTTTCGTGCTCTCGCTATAAGGCCAACAGCAGCACCTGTGCCTTGCTCTATGAGCGGGCCCTGGAGTGGCTGAGGCCGCAGAACGCACCTCGGCGCCTTAAAGGGTCCGATGCTCCCAGAGCTAAGACATTCGCACGAAGAAGCCTTCAGCGCCAGTCTTCCAAACTCCGGAACCCCGATTCCCACAGTGCCGTACTATATTGGGGACTTAAATTGGGGCCTGAATTTCCCATATACAGCCCGGAATCTGCCCGACGCACAAAAAAGGACGTGGCAGTGCTGGACGTCTGCTGCGGGGTCCGGCCCCAAGGGCAACAATCCAGAGCCCATACAATAGTTGCACTTTTTATACGGTAGCAGAATCTAGTACATCCCCAAATACAGTATGTAGTTTATACAGTAGCAGAATCAGATAATATAGTATATCCGCAAAGCTCCTGCTATGCTAAAGGATTCAGGCCCCTCTATTGCACCCTCTAGCCTTGAGCAGCCGTGATTGGTGCGTTGCCTCAGGTGGGCACCATCGGCCTCTGTGCCAGCCGCCGCTGTCGCCGGGTCATTGGCATCGAGCTGATCCCGGAGGCAAAGCCCGCTCCTAAACGACAATTTTGGAAACTGGCTCCTTTGCACTGTCTGTATATCAGTATATCTATAGCCATATATTGGGGTTCCCAAGCAGATTTGCATCATCTCCGCTTGTGGCTCTTCGGATCAGGAGAACTCCGAGAATGAACGCACATCAAAAAGCCGGGGCGGGTCCTTACATTTGGGGGTGTTGCTGCGCCTGTTCGTGCTCTCTTTGCAGCTTGGCGCAGTGGCTCTTTTGTCGTTACAGGCCGTGGAGGCTGCGAAGGCCAACGCTGTGCCGCCCTCAGAACGCTGTGGAATCCAAGCAGGGAGCCCTGAAACGTGAAGCTTAAACAGTGTCAGGGGGCTGCAAGCAGGGATCGACAGAAATGCAACCTATGTAACATATGGTTGTCACAAGGAAGATAGGTTAAAAACACTCCAGTTCCTTTATGATCGTGGAGCGACCCCCTACCACAGGTGAACTCCAACGCCCGTGCCGACCTGCGTTGCCTTCAATGAGTTGCCGAGGCTTTGAACAAGGTGGAGAACACCGAGTGGATTGCTGGGGCCTCTCTCGTTGGATGGAGAGGCGGAAATGCAGTTACAAGGCGTTAAGGAAACTTTGGAGGTCTTTATGGGGCTTTCGGGTTTTCCGGGCGGCTTTGGGTTCAGGGTTTCAGGCCTCAGAATTTCGGATCCGCTGCATAGGGATTGTCTCAGCGGCGAAGAAGCCGAGGTGGGAAAGGCCGAAGATGTCTTACCCCAAGTCCTCCAGGGGCCCGGTCCTCAGTTTGATGTTTTGGATCATTGTCCCTATTCCTTCGTCCAAACATGACGAAAAATGACTCTGATGATTAAGTTTGCAGCCGCCAGCCGACTTAGGATTTCGGAGTTTAGTCGCACTCTTGCTAGGCCTGTCAGCCAGGTACTCATATGTGACACCACAGCGCCTGTTCTCCGTTTTTTTGAGACAGTGTTGGAGTGTTGGGTTTTTTTGCTACACATGGGTGTTATCGCGGCCGCAAGCTATTGCTATTCCTGCCTTTCCTGCCATAAGAAGACCAAGAAATAAATAGTGAGACAGGCTGAAAGAACCCTAAACCCCTAAACTCCTGAACCCCTAAACCCCCAAACCCCTAAACCCTAAACCCGAAGATAGAGTTGTTCCGTCTGGGATTTTGAGACTCTCAGGCTGGATCCAAGCCTTGAGGTCTGCGCGGTGTGGAGCCTGGGGGATTTGGGGGGAGCTTTTGGTGTTGGGAGCCTGCGGCTCTGCATGAAAATGCGAGTGGGACACTGGTTTCACGTCGGCACTCCATGATTTTTAGGCCTTCTGGTTTCTGGAATTTGTAGTGTTATCAGTGCTCGTCTCAGTACAACGACACTACAGCGGACTTGTTCTACATGCCTGAAGCCAAGCGTTTACTTGCGGAAACGACTGGATGTTATGACTTCCTTGAAACAAGTCCACCACGTGTTGACTTGGGGGAAAAGGCTCCGGAGCTGCAGTAGTTACGTCTTCAGGGTCTGCCTGCACATGGAGAATGGCTCTTTCTTGTTGTGCTTTGTGGCTGACGAAATCGAGGCGTTTACTCTGTAATTCAGACATGTTTGATGCCTCAACAGAGACGCCTTTATTGCAGCAACGCCTTGCGCACATGTTTCAAGCGGTGACGCCGCAGACGCGTCACCTTGGGGATTCACTTTGCCTGGGGTGCCTTTTGCGGGTCTGGGGTGCCTTTCGGCGATCCACACACCGTCACCTTGGGGTGGGCTGACTGTTGCGGGGGTGGAGTGACTTAGGGCGCTCACCTTGTTGTATGTTCACAATTGGCATGATCGGGTGGGAATGGTGCTCCTGTGGCAAACCAGGTGCCGGAAGTGTTGACCGTGCATGGCCGCCTTTTTTCTGGGTGGTTGTGGTGGTGGTGGTGACGACAGAGTAGTTACTGTACTATTATGGTGAAGTTGAGCGTGATGTCGCTTCCGATGGTGCTTGTGACAGGCATAGCAATGATGGCTTCAAACGTGTTGCGGGTTTTTGCTCTTTTCGTGCACTTTGAAGTTTTCAGGTCGTCGACCCACCTCGCCCGGGGCTACACTCTTCGGTGCTGCGCGCGCTGAGGCGCGCCGAGTTCGGCTTTTCCTTCCCAGCCAGCTGAATCCTGAAGCCCCAAATGGATTCTACCTTGAGCACTTGCCAGGGGTTGCCCTCAGCTGTCGGGAGCCTCAGAGCTGCGCATGTGCGAGATCGAGGTTCACATGATGCCCTACACACCGTAAACCTATACCTTCACTTGCCTACTGATCCATGCTAATTACCATCTACTGTGAGAGGAACTTTGCCGGAGCACAACCAGGGTCACCTCTCTGGTCACCTCTCGCCAGGTCGCGAATCGTCTACGTGAGTTGCAACCCCGACTCGCTGGTGGAGGACAGAACAGACGGAGAGAGGGAGAGAGGGGTCAGCCCCGTAGAGAGAGAGAGAGAGAGAGAGAGAGAGAAAGGGGTCCGACCGGATGTGTATGTGAAAAGGTCCCTAGCAGACCTCTCTCGCACTGCAGAGTCAGAGGACGTTGTGAAGTTGACGATGCCCTCCGAGAGCGACGAGGAGCTGGCAGCCGCAGCAGCTCTGCGGCCGTTCTTTTCTCATGTCGCATGCCGCAGCCGCAGCCGTCAGCCGCCGCAGCTGTCGGGGTGATCGCTTTGCAAAGCCCCAGCCGGATGCGCAGGATCCTTTCATTCCTCTGCGAGCCGTCGCAGTGGTGCATGGCCCAGCGCTCCCCTGGCTCAGTGAAGACCCATGAGCGTTGCAGACCTGAAAGCCAGTCGAAGCCTGGAAGCGTATAGACATCCTGCGTGGCACAACAAAGAGCGCCTTGCCCCGCACCCTGAGGACATGTTCCCACACACGGTTCACTGTGAGATGATCTTGCTTCTGGAACGTTCTTCCAAGGAGGGGCCGGGGGGGAGGGCGCCCTGGGTGCGAAGAGATGTGTGAGAGAGAGAGGCACCTGGTAGAGAGAGAGAGAGAGAGAGACATATATATATATATATGTGTGTATATATATATAATTATTGTTATTGTTATTGTTATTGTTATTGTTATTGTTATTGTTATTGTTATTGTTATTGTTATTGTTATTGTTATTGTTATTATTATTATTATGATTATTATTACTATTACTTTTATTACTATTATTATTAGATAGGTAGATACCTGTAGATAGATAGAGAGGGAGAGAGAGAGAGAGAGAGAGTAGCCATTTTGGCTCAAGTCAACCTGCCGCTCCTTCGGGGGCGCTCAGGGACGGCCCTGGGGGGGTGCTGGCTGTTCCCAGTGCTTCTCCAGGGTGGACGTTCCCTT